TCGAATGCCTACAAATGCCTACGTGGCGTCCGAAAGCGGTAGTGGGAGTGACAAGCTCGCGCCGGGCCGGGCCATAGATCTCTCTCACTCCAATCGCTCTCGGACGCCATGTAGGCATGGCGATGCTCGCTCACTGCAGAGCTCTGCCACGGATCCACGGATCCCTTCCTGCTCCCTTTGGCTATACTGCACCGCATGCACGCGTGTGGGCGGGTTGCCTACCCGCTCGGGTCCTGCTCCACGCGGGGGTGCGTGGCTAGACTGTCCAGGCCAAAAGTCAAGTTGCAGGTATCGTCGCTCCCCGGGTCGGAATCGATTCTAGGGACAAAACTAAGGTTTACGTGTCTCAGGGATTTTCAATTTTCGAAATAAAAAAGGTTGCGCCACGGTCTCGAAGATTTTCGATTTTCTTCAATTGCCTCAAGTATTCTAAAATCGTATTATCTCACTCGGATTCGGCCGTGTGAGGTCGCCCACACGCTTACATCATCTCTAGACCTTACTTATGAGGAAAGCAGACCGTTGGCCCTTCTGGGGTGTGTTGCCTACGTTCCACGGGGACGAAAATGTTCGCTTTTGTGTCAAAATCGCCGTTTTACGAGGTTTAACGGCTTCCACAAGCCACTTCAGCCGTCCGGGCGTTACTTCTTTGGTACCATAATGTTAGTCTAATGTCCCCCTGTTCAGAAGAGCGCTAAGCGGACCGTGCGGGCAGGTTGCATAGCTACCAGGGGCAACAAACCATTTTAGAGCGTTTCCGAAAAACGAATTATGCGGGTGAAAATCGTTTCTTTTCAACAAAGCTTCGACCCGGGCGTTGCGGAAGGACACGAAATGTACGCCGCAGTTTCACTGCACCCCTCAAGACCGGTTAGGGTGGGTTGCCTGGCTACCAGGGGCAATAAACTTCAACAATATTGTTTTTAGAGAGCTAAAAACTTATAGAACGAGCTTTGTTAATCGCCGATCACGTCTGTAAGGCATTTCGAAGGGGTTTCTCAGACCGTCGTCTCGCGTAACAGGCTTCGCGATGTGTCACGGCACGCCTGGCATACATATGGCTTGTCCTGCGGCGCCGACACGTCACTAATTTCTATATTTTGTGGATGTCACGTCTATTTTGCACTATATTGCCGTTCATTTTTCCGCGAGGGGAAGCGTGTACGTTCGTTTCTTGATTTTTTCCCGCTTTTACTGATTTTTTTCTGATTTCTCTCATAAAGGAGGAGAATCGTCGAAAATCGTCGGATTTCGTCGGAACTCGGCAAAAATCGTAGGAAATCAGAAACAATCAGAAAAACGTCCCAAAAAATTAGAAAAATATCGTGAAAAATCGTGAAAAATTGTGAAAAAAATAATAAAAATACGCGAGACGACGGTCTGAGAAACCCCTTCGAAATGCCTTACAGACGTGATCGGCGATTAACAAAGCTCGTTCTATAAGTTTTTAGCTCTCTAAAAACAATATTGGTGAAGTTTATTGCCCCTGGTAGCCAGGCAACCCACCCTAACCGCTCTTGAGGGGTGCAGTGAAACTGCGGCGTACATTTCGTGTCCTTCCGCAACGCCCGGGTCGAAGCTTTGTTGAAAAGAAACGATTTTTACCCGCATAATTCGTTTTTCGGAAACGCTCTAAATTGGTTTGTTGCCCCTGGTAGCTATGCAACCTGCCCGCACGGTCCGCTTAGCGCTCTTCTGAACAGGGGGACATTAGACTAACATTTTGGTACCATAGAAGTAACGCCCGGACGGCTGAAGTGGCTTGTGGAAGCCGTTAAACTTCGAAAAACGGCGATTTTGACACAGAAGCGACCATTTTCGGCCCCGTGGAACGTAGGCAACACACCCCAGAAGGTCCAACGGTCTGCTTTCCTCATAAGTAAGGTCTAGAGATGATGTAAGCGTGTGGGCGACCTCACACGGCCAAATCCGAGTGAGATAATACGATTTTAGAGTACTTGAGGCAATTGAAGAAAATCGAAAATCATCGAGACCGTGGCGCAACCTTTTTTATTTCGAAAATTGAAAATCCCTGAGACACGTAAACCTTAGTTTTGTCCCTAGAATCGATTCCGACCCGGGGAGCGACGATACCTGCAACTTGACTTTTGGCCTGGACAGTCTAGTGCGTGGCGCTGATGGGCAACGTTTAACGTCGAGGAGTTACAGCGTCGTGGCACGGCCCGGGGGGGCACCAAGGGGCAGGGGGCGGCGTGGCACCGAGCCAGCGGGGCAGGGCGCGGGGCAGGGCGAGGCGGGACACTGAGAGGAGGAGAGGGACCCCGCGGGAGATTGCACTGGCCCCGACAAAGCGACGTACTCATCACCTGACAATTAGAAGTCTGCGAGGCAGTCGGCGGGCCGCGAACGTAAACATGCCCGCCCCACCCCGCCCCGCCACGCTGTCCACCAGACAAAACCGAATTATGCTTTCTGCTGCGCCAAACAGCTCTCGGCGTTTCCCCCCACAGTCACACGTACTACCCCACGGCTTTCAGCAGCTTTCAGCTCTCAGACACCACCCGCCATCATGGAGTGCCGGCTGCTGCTCTCTCGTCATGTGGCCGCAGGGGCCTAACATGGCAGGAGGCGGGGCGGGGCGGGGAGGGGTGGTCCGGTGGCGGTCTGGCCGAGCGGAAGAGGAAGGAAGGGGCAGAGGGGGGGGGCAGATGTAAGGGCTCTCTCACACATCGTAAAGGCGCGCTCAAACCCTTCTGGGCCTTCTGTGTGTACAGAGTACATGTTGTACGGCACCGCCCGCTGGCCGCTCCAGCCGTCGAGGACCACACACTGCTGCATTACACACCAAAGAGAGAAGCGTAGACTTGCCCCGCCCCGCGCCCGGTTCAGTCGTCGCCCAGACAACGCCTCTGCACTTCCTGCGGCGGCACGCGCGGGGCGAGACTGCTCCGGGAGCCGAATTGCCATCCGGTCGCGTAGGAGCAGACATGGAAGTGCGGGTTGAGTTGAACCAGCACTCGGTCGCGC